TTGCCATAACTTCTTTTTTATTTATGGCTCTATCTGCCATAAATAAAAAGGCGGAGGTAATGCAGTGACAAGTGGCGCGCTTACCACGCGCGCGGTCCTGGCTTCAATTTGTGGGTTGACTCCCGCCCAGGCCAACCAAGCCTTCTACCCTCCGGGGACGGTAAATTGGTACCAGATTCGTCTGGGAGGATAAAACACTGACTTGTACATCGGCTGGCCCCGCAAGTCATTGTATAGGCCACATCGCATTCAATAAGCCACTACGATTCTGAATGGAAGTAGAATGCGTGCCGCATCCCACAAAGGGATTGATCAACGGCGAAGACTTTATTTTTTCATCTGCCACGAAAACGCAAATTCGGCCTCTACTGGTGGCCGTCTTTACTCAATAACAGACACGATTCAACTATTTATCGAACCAGTTTTATACTCATTGACACTGCAATTAAAACAACAGTAAGAGAGCAATAATTCTTTACATGTAAAACTCTACTTTATGCTCGGCTCGAGATCAGCCCTAAGCCAGCTTTGATAATGAGTTCGAGCACTGAGGAGAATCGCAGTTAATGAAAGGCTGTAATCCAATAACTCATAGAATGATGAAGGCTATAGATAACTGAGAAACATTTGTATGGCAGGTCTCCACTCGACCAGCAGAGAACCAAGCGCACCTGTCTATAGATTAAGGAACACATAAATGGGGGATAAAATAGTTGAGGTAAGTAAATATCACAGCGCCCGTTACTTACTATAACACCTATCAATTTGATCCATGAACCATGGTCGATTTCCTTCACGAGCCGTGAGAACATCGCAACCGTTTTCGGTTACAAGAAGAGTATGCTCGAATTGAGCGGATCGCTTACCATCCGTCTATAAAACGCAGATTCTCCAACGGATCTCAGAGTCGAAAGCAAAACCGCTTACCGTAACAGCGGTCCAGTCATCTGGCCAGCGATCATCATGGTAACTGCCAGCGTTTATCATCGGTTCAATTGTGAACGAATTACCCGCTTTCATCACACCCGTTGCAGTATTCTCTGAAAGCATTCCATCAATGTTAGAGGTGAAGCTGAGACTTTGAAAGAACCTTTTTCGGAACTATGATATTCTTCTACGTCCAAATTCTCATACACCCTGCTAGGTCGAACGCTTTAGAGTTAGAGGTAGAGTAAGTTAGAGGTGGAAGGTAAAGTTACAGTGTTAGAGGTACACTGCATGACATGTACTAGTGACTCCTAACGGCTTTGGTACCAATGTCTTCCCAAGTGCAGCCTGGTTCGCTGCGGATGAAGGGGCGCGTCTGCGTTTCTCGCGCCGCCAAGTCCATATGTCAGTTGTTTAAGCAGGTAAGTGACAAGAACTGGTGAAAGCCTAGTGATACGTATGACACGATTCAATACTACCGCTTGTAGAAAGAGACGGGTTGGCGCCGGGCGCCGCGCCAAACGCAGTCACGCGAGCACGCCCCATCATCCGCAGCGAACCGGACCATACGACTGCGACTGAAAACTGGGTTTTTTTTGCAAGGCAGCGAAACTTCTGCCTCTTGAAAT